TCGATTTGTCGACACGGACATAGAAAACGTAAGTTTATATCATATCAATCAAATTCACCTACAATATAGCATCAACATGCTGTAGGACAAGGAAAAGTTCAACTGGTTTGCCGATTTCAAGAGCCTCCGTGGGCCTCAACTGGCGTTGCTGGTACATATATATCTATTATCTCGAGCTACAATATATATATTATCTCAAGCTACGACAGCCCCCTAGTTTTAATATGATTGTTTAGTATTAATATTTTAATATAATATATATAGGCAATCGAAAAGCCCGACTGGGGCGACCTGCGCCTGGCGACTACTCGGCCACAGCCCACCGTGAGCGAGAATGAGCTGGACGACTCCACATTTGAAGTCAACATGCGCATGGTGCGTGTGACCAGGGTCAAGCACGGCCTCGGAGGTATAAATATATGTATCTTCATCTATATATTATATCATATATGTATCGAATGGTATATATGTATCGAATGGTATGTATGCATAGAATGTCATATATATATATAATGTCGCATATATAAATATATGTAATGTCATATGTGTAGAATAATGTATATATAATGCCAAATATAAATGTCATGTATATGATGATCTCATATATATATAATGTGATATGCATAGAATGATGTATAGATATATAAATATAAATGTCATGTATATGAATGACTCATATAAATATATAATGTCATATATAGAAGGGATGGTCCGGATGCCACCCCATAAAATTATGCCATAAACCGTTTTGGCAAGTCTGCAAAATATTCCCAAAGTCCCATATCCCATGAAAAAAAGGAGAAAAAAAGTATCTAAAAAGTTGTCAGCTGTATTTTGGAAAAATTATTCGATTTCCGATTGAAGTGCAAGACTTCAACGTAAACGCAAACCTCCATATAAAGTAGGACCAAATTGGTCCATTTCTTTTATGCCATAAAACACCCGATTCTCAAGAAAATTGTGGCATATTATTTGGAAGTTTGCCCTAAATATACAATGTCATATATATAAATATATAATGTTGCATATGTATATAGATAGTGTCATGTATATATTATCGTGTCATATATAAGGCGGCCAACAACACCCACATTGCGTTCAACATATAGTACATATCGATGCTGTATATTTTCGACCAAATCCAACAGCGTGTGATCGATCTCACTAAATCTATTTCGAATTGTTTTTTTCTTTTTTTTTTATATATATATTTGATTGCAACTGTACAATATCCCTTTCTATTTGGATAAACCTCACACAAAAGCAAGTTACTCTGTCAATGGTATTCCTCTATGACTTTGCACCACATACAGCCCACCAGTTCTATCGATTATACTAGTAATGAGTTTATGAACTAAGTGTTATTCATCCAATCGTCTTATATTTTTCGTAGAGCTGTTTGTGTCGGACGAGATGCCAACCGCCGACGATTTTCACTTTAGTTCGATCGATGCCATGTATCGTGGCCAGTGGGTCAACGGGCTCAAACACGACCAGAAAGGCGTCGAATACTCCAACTACGGCGTTTACACGGGCGCGTTTGTGTATAACGTCCGAGATGGCCACGGTATGATCGACTATTTGTGAATAATTGAGTTTGAGTCAAGTGGATATATGTATATATATATATAATATATATATGGGTAATGACCCTCATTAAGGGAATAAACCAAACATGTCACTTCCTTTCTCCCCTGAAAGATTAATGGAATATAAAAATTATGTACAAGTAGGTTTGAAAAATAAAGTAAAGTTGAGCTCTAAGGGTTTTTTTTTCAGACATAAACCTATGAATATAAATAAATTTATTTATATACAATTTCCATTTTCACTACTCGTCATTACTCACGGATAGTTACATTTATAATTGATTATTGGTGAAAGCTCTTTGAGTTTTTGCTACTTAATGGGACCCCCCCACTATATATGGTCATTTGGTAAACCAATGATTGTTCCATTTCATTTATCGTAGTGTATATTTATTTGTTTATATATATATTGTGTGTGTTCTACTCCAAACTTCCTCTGGCGGTTAACCGCTGATGAGGCATCACACCGGACCTTCGAAACTAGTATATATAACTGAGTTTAAAAGGTATCCCTGTGAAAAATCATTCATTTTAGCCAATCGTATTGCGATCTTATATGCGTTTGAGCCTATCATACTGTTTTGCTCGTATTTGTTGGCGATTTCAACAATCACCCAAAATTGACAAATATTTTTTGGGTGAAACCCACAATATATCAACTGATCGATCCAAACAATTCCAAACAATTGTTGACTTCCCGTTGATATGTATATATAAGCATGGACAATATGATATAAGTCTACGAACGTAAACTACTGCGATATATGTTCATATAGGGTTCAAGTCCGTTTGTGTGTCGTGTGTATACAAAAAGCAAGTTTAATTTATTCTTTTTAGGGCAATTGGTGTATGGCAAAGGGGATAAATTAACTGCGACGTTCGACACCCCCCGGTCCCGATACAAGTACACTAACTCCAAGGACCCGTACCCCAAATCCCTGTTCCCACCCCAGTTTCAGGATGGGGGGCCCCATGGAAACGGAGCCACGATCCTCTTTGCAGATGGCGCCACGTACGTGGATGGCTTGTCATCGTTGGCTAAACTGGAGTATTCAACGAATATATATATATATATAAGTGGATTCAACGAGATGGAGGGCTATGTATATATATATATATATATTATGGTAGATTCCCGTTGACTA